TCGCAGTATATGTTATTTATGTGCACATGGTTATTTGTTTAATGGTTGGGTTGAGGCGGTCCTGCTTTGTGCTGAAGGCCAACACACCCGACGAGCGGTCCAGATAGACTATGGGCCCTGCATGACGGTCCAGTCATACCGAAGGCTCGGGATAGATCTAGATAGAATGTAGGCGTTGCAAGGCGGTCCAGTCAGGTTGAATGTCAAGAATACATGTTGTTATCTGTTATTGATATGGTATTATCGGTGTAGTATTGGTATTTTGGGGGTAACTCACTAAGCTCTCGGGCATACAGTTTCAGTTTATTGTTTCAAGTACATCCGAAGATCAGGGTAAGGCAAAGGTGTGACCGTACCGCTCCTCATCCTGATGATTTTGTTTCTGGGAGACTCTGATGAATAATATTTTGAAAACAATTTGTATAATACTATTTGGTTTTTAATGGATGAAAAAGTTAAAAATTTGGCTTAAATTTTTGGGTGTTACATATATTCTTATTTTTCTGCCCATTCCAGTTATGTTGACTATGCACGTAAGTTCTATGAATTCTCATTTGATAGCATAAGGCAAAACACCTTGATCAGTGAAAGTACATTGATCAGTGTGGGTGAGCTGCTCAATAACTTGGAAGCAATGGTAGTTCATTGTGCTGTCGGATGGAAAGAAATTAAGAATAAGCAAGTTCAGTCCATATAATTTTGAATATGATAGTGGTTGAAAATGACAAGTTCATATTGATAGAAAACTATACACCATAAAATCTAAGTGCTAAGAGGTTTCTCTCTACTTCATGAGAATGATTGAGAAGAAACACTTTCGCTAGTAGATTTTATAAGGATTAGAGTTAGAAGGTGTGATGATTGTGTTCTCAAATTCGAATATGATTACGACATCCCTTTTCATAGTTTGAATTGTGAGAAATGGAAAGAAATTGTCTAAACATTCATGACTTATTGTGATGAGTTCTGAAAGGGTTTAGACACACACATAAACTATCTAATGAAAGGTGTATGAGCTTGAGAAGTCTAGACAAAGACTTATCAAAGCACCACGTATTAAAAATCTGAAATTTGGTAAGAAACTCAATAGGTATTGATTTGTAGAAGTCCAACTAATTTCTGAGTACATGTCAAAGCTAATGAGAGCATAATTGTTATGCTGATAAGAACATAATTCTTATGCTAGTGGGAGCATAATTATTATCCTAAGTATTGCAAGCTAGCAATGCTATTTATAGGAAATAAAGTTCGAAATTTGCAAAGTCATAGAATTTGGAAATTGTATCGTTATAGTAAGTCTTAAGGGAGAAGACATTTATACTTCATTTCGAATCTAAAAGTTTAGTTTGAAATTTTAATCGAATTTAGTCATAAACGTATAACAATGTCATGTTGAAATGTTTCAACAAAGGAAATTATATATATATATATATATATATATATATATATATATATATATATATATATGGAAATATTATAGCAAGAGACTGGTCTAGTATCTTGTCTTTATGTAAGACATTATGAATTGTATCTCATATGCTTCGGGTATAGGATGATTGCGTATCCTATAATATCTGCATGTTCTAATTTTCAAATGCCTAGCGCATGAAGAGGGAAACGGGACCAGAACTAGATATGAATAACGTTGTTAAAGAACTATCAAGGACAATATGAGGTGTACCGAAGATTGGTTGCTTATGGATAGTTGGAAGTATAGTGATGGGTGGACTATATTGATATAATTTTGAATAGATAATGGATAGTCATATGGAAATCATGGAAATGTAAGAATCTATGTGTAAGTTAGTAACTTTAATGCAAGAAGGATAATCAAGGAATGCTCTTTGAATGTGAGACTTTGATTCTATGGATTTGTTCTACAATGGAATGCTTTATAATATCATTGGCTAAGTCTCTGGGACTTTGGTGCTTTGACATTACAATAGGTTCGTTGCACATAAGCTTAGACTCTAACGGATTCTAGTAGTGACATGTCTTACACTTGTGATAAGGATTTGGAATTGTGAAATGAGCATCATTGGAAATGTGTCCAATTGATCTATTTCACAAAGAAAGGACCATAGATAAACATAGTGTGCATGCTTGGAGCATGGGATGACTATTGTTTTAACTCATGTATTAAGTTGATTGTTCGAAACATTATACATGAATAAGGTCTAATTAATATGGTAATTAATTAATAAGTGTTTTATTTATATTCAAAAGTTTTGAGACGATATTGGATTAGATTATTCTTATGTTTCACTTCGCATGTTTTACGTCCCGAATAATAAGATTATTAAAACATCCACAATCATTCATACTTTAGAAGTAAGTACTGAGTTAAGACTGTTATGAATCCGACTGTAGATTGTCTAAGTGCTTAGGCATAATAAATGTTTGCTAAAGTGTTCATTCGTACTCCTGAAATAGGATTTGAGTATTGGATTAAACCAACGCTCATTTGAATCACTTCATGGATTTTATCATGAGTGATTATGAGAGGATAATATCTTATATTCTTGAAACGAAGAGATATAGTTGTTGCTTACAAGTCGGTTGTGCATTGATTATACGTAAACGCATTAATAAATTGATGTTATAAAACATATTGTTGCGTATGATTTGATGAGTAAATAGTACAAGCATATGAGTCAAAGTGTATCCGTTACTTTTACTCTAAATGGGTTAAAAGCGATATTTGTGGGCCCCTCGATGATTTATTGATGACACCCTAAGCGATTGGCCAAGCTTGGACTAAGTTGATATGTTCAATTGTAGTCTGAGTCAGTAGTTATAAATCGGAAATCAGGTTACAATCCCTGGATAGAAAGAATGATTATAATCCATGTCTCATGTCCATACGATATCTTGTAGAATGGAGGAATATCTGATCACGTATCTAAAGGACGCGTTACTGATAAGATCAGAGTTCAACTGCGGCTTTTGAGAGCTACGATTGCTAGCCAAATTCTGAATTCATACTTGCAATAATAGTTACTAGACTTATCCAAGTGGAAGATTGTTAGGTTAGGTGTCTAAGCCCATAACTGTATATGGTATGTACTTGATTAGATTTGTAGCATGGTCTTTTGGGTTTCCTTCACTAATGCAACTTGACAGGATGACTAGTGGAGAGAGAGAGAGAGACACACAGAGAGAGAGAGAGTATGATTTATTATATGAATAATAAATTGGTACTCAGAATGATTTAATTAATATATTATAAGATGAATTATTTGGAAATAATATTATAAATTTGTAATTAATCTAAAACTAATATGATATTAATTTTGGGATTAAAGGGACTAATTAATAATAGACGGACTAGTTTTGCCTATCATTGATAGTTGCAAAGTTGCGTTGATGGACTCATTTGGGAGGATTGGTTGAAATCTGTAGTAAGCCCTATAGAATTCGTCCAAGACTTCTATTGTGGAGGTCCATGGACTGCTTAAGGCCTAAGAAAGGAATTAGGGTGACCATCTAAAAAGCCCTAGTAGCCACAACTATATAAACCCCCTTAACCTAAGGATTTTGGCCTTATGTTTTTCTAAGAGAACCCTGGCCGATTTCCTCATCTTTGCATCATCATTCTTTGCATTGAGTGTTTTTGACTCCATTAGAGGTGCAACACTTAGGGCACTAATCTTTCAATAGTCAAGGTGGTTCTTATTATTGCAACATAACAAGTGAGGTAATCTTCTAACCCTAGTTTTATACATGATTTCAAAAAGTGTATGCTAGTCTATAGGGTTATTTATTTGGTGTTCATATTTGTATGTTTAATAGAGAAAAACTTAGATCCAAAGCAATTAGGGTTGCATGATCACATAGGAATGTAGATATGCTCAAAACTCATCATGTTTTTTGTGGTTTACTTTTTGTCACACATCGAAGGGTATTTTCGTATGGTTTATTCGTCGGGCATTTCTCATACCCGTGTGGCTTTTATACTAATTTGTTGATTATAAAAATGATGGAGAATGTTGAAATGGGTATTCAAAACTTCTGGAATATTTTTCTTCAAAACAATTTGAAGACTGATGTTACTTCGAGGGGGAGTTGGGTCTTGATTGCTTGGAGCTTGTTTGGATATTGAAGCCAGGACAACCAATCCTATCTTTGAGGGGGATAATGTTAGGGTACAAATTTCTCCTTGGTTGTGGCTTACCCTCTTTGGATGTGTAATGGGTTTAGCCTTTCCTAAAAATCAGAAGTGAGTGGCTCCTATTTTATGAAAGAACCCATTTTATTTGAGATTTAGTTTAGAGAGAGAAACCATTACAAGACCCAATTTACAATGTGTGTTCTTCGATTATGTTTAATTCACTTTGATCATTATTATTCCACATTCAACATTATTACTGGGTCACTACAGATATGTTGGGCTACTAGTGCTTTTATGGCAACTGAGTCCATATGCACAAAATTTAGGTTTGTCTGGGATCTTGAGTTGCTTAGGGGGGGGGGGTTCTCTTTGGCAACATGTTTATGATGCTAAATTAGTTAATATGGAGGTAGATGTTAGTTATTTATAGCCTTTGCTAGTCATTCAAATACATATATTGATGATTCGTTTTTACTTGCGAGAGTTAGAATAATTTGTAAGAATGATTTACAAATTTCAATGTCGCAAGATATTGTGAATTTTCATCAGATAAGTTTGTTATATCGCATACAACTATTTCACAATATAACACTTTTCTTTCATGAAATAATTTTTTTTCACATATGCATATCTTCTGATTACAAATACTGGTTATTACATTGTGATTTCGTGAATAAAAAAAATGATGTTAGGACAAGAAAAGTAAGGTATTTTACATCAAAAGAGATAGTAAGTGTGCTATAATCTTGCATACAAACTTTTCCTTAATCCCTAACCCAAAAATATTTCTCTTAGCAACCCCCGCTAAATCCGTTTACCAGAATGCAAAAATAAAAATAAAAGTGGTATTAACTGTGCCACCTACTGATAAAGGAAATTAATCATCATATTAATTCAATTCCCTCGCTTCGATTACTGCAATCGTCTCTTCTAATATCTCTGTGCAGAGCTCCATCTCATCCATCATAATCAGTTGTATCATGTTTTGTGACCGTGCCTCCTCCAAGTGGTTATAAGCATGTAGGATCCTTATCTCATTAATGTCCTTACGCTTCTCGAACTCTAGGACTCGACCTAATAGATGTCCTATCTCACTATTTAACACCCTAAGCTCCACATCTATATAGTGTATCCTATCGGAATGTTCTGCCGTACGTGTGACTAGCACATATATCGTTGTCTCAATCGAAGTTTCAAGAATAGGATCACATATCGGAGCTCTGGACGATAAGCCCACCTCATTGTGAAATCTAATGATATCCTCCTCATGCCACTCTATGACTTAGGAAGTCCACGGGTATATATAAGGATTAACTTTATTAGAGTGTTCTTTTCTCTAATACTTGTGATATGTAGTCTAAAAGATCTATGGTAGGGTAGTGGTGGAACCTCCAATGATGGTGGAGCAGGATCTGGCTTGCCCCCATCAATAGCATTTGTCTCCTCCTCGGTATATGGCTTGAAGTAGTCAACATGATCAGTTGAGTCATCTTTGGAGGATGATTCTGGATACATTGAACTATTATCTATCTCCTCGTCCTCCTCATCTTTGTGAGGCTTCTCGTCCTTAGATAGAGGTGATGTTGGTAATGGAACCTCTGGGGCATGATCATCCTCTGGCTCTGGAGAATGAGGCACCACCTGGTCCTCCTCAGGAAGTGGAATTGTCATCCAAATCCACATTTTGTCCATGATACTTTGATGCTCCTGCATACGAAATCAAACATGATATTTGTTTATGAGAGATAGTGTGAGAATCAATAGATAAAAATAATTTCGAATTATACATATGTAGTAGATAGTACTGATGTTTCCATCGATTTCCTACATGGAATATATATGTTACACTAGATCGTCAATCCCAATATCCTCAATAATGCAACTCATGCTAAGTATCCAATCGAAGAATCCTCAAGTGGTATATCTCGATCTATGTCTCGAATCTAAGAACTCTCAAGAAATCAAACTAGAAACTAATATAGGCAAGGTATTTGTTTTGAGAATTTTCTAATGTCAATAGGTTATAGTGTTGCAAGAGAAGGGTTGTAGTAGTGATTTAATCGAGTATAAAAGAAATCAAAGTAATCAAAGTATATGACAACAACGAGTAAATAAGATCTTGTTTATAGCTCACTTATACTTCTGAATACACAGATAATGTTTAGACAGAAAGCCTGAAAAAGTTCTATCCATCCCTAAGTACAACTCTGATTTATAGGAGAATCAGAAAGTGTACAAAAAATACTAAGGACTAAACATAAAAGTTCGAACACAAAATGCCTAAGTAAATAGATAAAAGACTTTCAAAACTGCTAATACAGACTTCGACACATAACAACATATTCGACACTAACATTCTCCCCCTTTGTAATAAGTGTCGAAGTTAATTGATCAAAAATTGAGCAGCTTTATGTAATTGTTTCGAACTTCAGCATACCAATTCATAATCTTTTACATCTCAGCTTTATCACCTTTTGTGTTCTTCTTACAGTTATTCATACACACAATTAAGTTCGTATATTGGGTTGTTGTGTATCTTTCGACATCATTTGCTTGAAACAAAAACTTTGACTGTTTTCCATTCTTACCCTACCCAACAAAAACTATCCCATAGGGTTTCAAGAATATCCCATCATCATCATATGCTATCAGATTAGCTTTTCTTTTCACCATTGATTGAGGAACTGCAACTTTTTTCCTAATGACATAGCTAATTCTATATCAGTCAATGCTAGACAACCGTAATAATTGTCTATGAAAAGATTAAGATATCCTAACCCCGACCTCAACACTTCTTTGTTGGTTCCCTGAAGCTTTGAAACATCTGAATCCTTGAGAATGTATGAAACTTGAATACGATCATTCAATTTCATTAACGGAAAGTCAGCAATGGAGAAATTACATGCGATCTTGTTAGCCCGTACGACATGATATCTGAAATTTTGAAGCATATTTTCAAAAAGTTCATCCTTTGTCACACTTATTACTTGGAAAATCTTCACAAGTGACCAAACTTCCTCCTGCTCTTTCCCCAAAACATCATGAAATCTCAACTTCATGTGTGTAAAATCATCTGGATTCTTAAATCTATCAATAATTTTGTATTGAGCGGTAACGAACATCATCTCATTCATTAGGAAATCTAGTTGATTTATTTCATAATTTTCGATAGAATAACTCTTTTCGGGCTTCTTCTCGAAAACATGCATTTCAATATATGCCACCCTTGCTTTTATGTTTTTCATAACTATGCAGCTTCCTTCGATATACTTTGTTGAGATTTGGAGGATCATTCTGACGAAGTCTTAAAATACTTTGTATTTGTCTTTGCTTCTCCATCTCTGCCTCTACCTTTGCCTTCCTTTTTTTCTTTTGATTTTTCAATTATGATCCTTTTCCCCCTATCTTGATTTTTTTATATTTCTTTAGGTTTCGATGCACTTCCTTCGCCACTTGTTCCAATCACAATACCTTTGGAAATTGTCCTTGTAATAGTAAATGTTGAAGCCACAGGATCAACCTTCGATAATATTGGCTTTGTTGAAGGAATATTTGTTGCAAAAATTTTACCCACAACCTTAACTTTGTATTCAGTTTTCCAAGAAGCTTCTTCCCCAACAACCTTTTTCTCTCCCCCTTGCATCCATGTGATAACAGACGGGGCATTCGTTGGTAGAAAATTGATAAGCTTAGACAATGGGGCCAATTCCTTTTGAAGAACACTTTCAAATAACTTAAACTTTTGAGACAAAAACTCAGGAGTTGTTAAGGCAGAAGATCCTGACTTCGAAACAAGGTCTTTCAATTCAGTAAATATCTTGTTAATTTCCGAAAAACTTTAAACTTCATCCTTAGACATTTGCTCCACCCTTGGACCAAGAACTTCATAGATCTTTACAAACTTCGTAACAACATTGACTATTATATCAATTTTCTGATTCAGAGAAGCAAAGTCCTGTTGAAAAACAGCTATCTCCTTTCTTATATCATCATGAAGTTCTTGAAACATCCTTCAAATCTCTGAGATCTGAAGAGAACATAGTCAACAGATTCTTGACAGATTTTTCATTATTTCGATCCACATCAGAGATGGCCTCATGAAGAAGGCTTTCTTGTCGTTTGATCATCAGATCAACTTCCAAGCTTGATACCGAATGTTTTCCTCCTCCATCCACTTGATTTTGTAATTAAGAATTGAGCTTCCTATTCAAAATTTTGAATTGTTTGCCTATAAGGATCATAGTTTTTGGAACTTCCTCTTCTTCTATATCAGACTGAATGTCTCCAAAAGTACCACCAAAAACATCTTCATCATCATATGATGAATGATGAGCTTCTTCATGAGTAACCGGGGGTTCAGTGAATTGTGAAGAAAATAATGAAGTAAATGGTTGATCAAGTATGTTATCGAAAGTGAGTGAATGAATATCAAGTGAAATGGTAATGAATGGAGGTAAAGTGGTTGAAGTCTCAATGGTTGAAGTTCCAAAGTGAGAAGAAACAATAATTGGTGTACCTTGAGGCTGGGAAGTTTGACATTGGACACCATAGCAAGAGAAACAATGAATGGTTCAGGTTGTGACAATTGCGAAGAGATAATTGTCATTTCGACATTTGAAGTATCTTGAGATGTTGTCACTGGAGGATCTTGAATAACATCTTCTCCTATAGACTCGTCAGTAATCACCAACTTTCGAAGCTTCTTTTTCTGTTTCGTGGAAATGAGTTTGGGCATATCCTTGGCTTGGCATTCTTTGCGGATGGGGAAACAAGAATGGGAAATTCACAAAGAATAACACATTTTATTGTAACATGAGGCTTGCGAATCATGGACGGAGAAAAAAGCTGGGAGGTCTGTCAGAAGAACTATGTGACATATGTGCCATCATCTTAATTTTCTTGAACACACCGGTCTTCGAAGGAACAACTTCTTTGAAAGGTTCGACAGTCTCTGGTTCGATTGGTTTGTCCTCAGCCTTTTAAACAACAACTTCATCATTGGTATTCTTATACGGAGAGTTAGAACGTTTCTTCTCCGGAATTGGTTTAATGAACTGTCTTCTACCGTCTTTGATTTTTTGGAATTTTTAGTAGATCCATCATCAGATCAAGGTAAGAGAACACCAGTCTCAATTGATGTATTAGTTGTCTTGAAGTAGGCTTTCAAAATCGAATTCGAAGGATCCACCTTTTTGAGCATACCATTTGGAATTCAAGCAACATTTGGAAATAGTGAAATACAACAGCATAATCTTCAAGTGTCTTCGAAAAATTATACTTCATAAACTCTTCTGTTTGCTCATCATTTGGTACCAAAAACCCTTCCTTCTCATACGCAAACCTCAAGATTAAACTCCAGTACCTTGCACATGAAATCCCATCAACTACATTGGTATTTTCCACACTTTTCAAAAACTCCTTCCACATCTAGGTAGCATAATCCACAACAACATCATAATAAATCCCAGCAACCATAGCGTAAACTTCCAATCTCCCTTTATCTAAACCTACACTTAGACCTGTGAGACATCGAATGTATATTCCAAATAGAAAATTCTATATACAAGGGAGGCACAATTTCTGGAAGTCACCTATCTTGGTGAGAATAGGTTAATAACCCATCTCATTTAACATTGTCAGAACTTGATCAGTTGTGATTACATCGAAACTTCTTCTCATTGATTAGGTTGAAGGTGATTACATCCAACGTTTTGCTATATGTGGCCGTTGAGCCTACAAGTGATAGCCATGAGAGTGGAACACCAAAGGAACTGAACATAGCGGTCTTCAGAATAGAGTCTTGTAAAGCAATTATCAACATCTTTAACTCTTCCAGATTGACTAAAACATCATTATCGACTTGATAATTTGTTCTATGGACTTTCATGATGGGTTGTTAAGAAACATCTTTTGTGATTTGAGAAGGAGCATCAACAGTAGCGGGATTAGCCATGATTAGAGATTGAAGATGAATGAATAAGACAAAGAGTTCTTTTGCAATTTAGGAATTTTCAGAAAGCGTAACCGTATAATGAACCCTTGAAACCCTTTTAATAGGTGATCCATGGATTTGAATTTGAAGCGGGATCAACATTAAATGAGATATGACGTGACACCTTGAAAATTGTACCCACATGCAGATAAAATTTCCATGCGTGAAAAAGTAACCATCATGAAATGTTGTGGGTTGTTAGTCATCTGGATCTTGTTGGGAAACAAATGTTGTGGGTTTCTAACATTTGATCAAGACCACTCAAAATGATTGAATATGATTTGGAGTATCGATGGTTGGTACAGAAACAAATGTTCCGTCAATTCTGGAACAATGTTCCCCGTTAATTCCTTAAATAGTTTGATATGTAGGGTTTCACTTTCATCACGGCCTCATGATGTTAGATCATTAACACATAATGTTGATATGTCTAAATCCTAATTGGTTTTACCAGATATCTCTTGGACATAATTCATTGTGTGTGAAAGTGTAAGAATTTTGGGATGAAAAAGATTGGTTAATGAATTTAAAATGTACCACTGCTATTTGTTGGACCAAGCAGATTACTCTAAACTCATTTGAGTAGAGTATGGTAGCTCATGGACTAATGTGAATATAGCCTGATTGGGTAGAAATTTTTGTGATAAAAACTTCATTAAGGCTTCGAAATCATACATTGAGTCAAAGGAGGCTTGGTTCGACATGTTGCAACATGCTTCTAGGGACACCCTAACTAGTACCTGATTTTGCGAAAATATACCTAACCCTAGAACTGCAAGCATGAACCTTCAATAACCTTCACTTTCAGTTGTAAGAACAATTTGAAAAACAACCAACAAACAAACAAGAAAATCTTTTTGGAGTTTTAAATTTTCTGAAAACTAAAGACAAAACAAAAGTAAAATATTTTTGTTATTTTTGATTTTTCGAAAATAAAAGACAAAACAAAAGTAAAATCTTTTTGGTAATTTTTGATTTTTCAAAAAATGAAAGACAAAACAAAAGTAAAATCTTATTGGTGTTTTTGATTTTTCGAAAACAAAAAAAATTCAAAAATAAAAAAAGTAAATATACCAAACTTGCGAAGATTTTTCGTTTTATCCATTTACCAGCATGTCGAAAGTGAAGTGTTGACTATGAACAGTAACCATTAACTCCAACAGTTGTCATCCTTTTCCACCTTATCATTCTTTCGAATCACATCTTGGAACTAAACCACCTTCGATCATTCCAAATCCTGTTAAAATGTGGACAAACGATTTTTCATCAAGCAGCTTTGTGAAAATATCAGCAAGTTGATCAGTTGTTTTCACAAAATGAACTTCGATATTGCCATCCTCAACATGATCTTTTATAAAATGATATCGAAGAGCAATATGTTTAGTTTTCGTATGTTGCACAGAATTGTGACAAATGCATATAGCACTTTGAGAATCGCAATATAATAGAATTTTCTTCATATTGATTGCATAATCTCACAGTTGGCTTTGAATCCAAATAATTTGAGAAATGCAAGCTGCAACAGCTACATATTCTGTTTCTACCGTCGAAATCGAAACACATGTTTGCTTCTTTGATTGTCAGCTTATCAATTTCCCATCAAGTAGTTGACATCCGCCACTTGTGCTTTTTCTATCAAGATTGCAACCCCCTAAATCAGCATCAAAAAATGCTCGAATGAAGAATCATGTTTTCGAAGGATACCACAATCCAAACGAAATAGATCCTTTGAGATATCGAAAAATATTCTTCACTGTTGTTAAATATGGTTCTCGGGGATTCATTTGATATTTAGAACAATTACAAACAAAAAACATAATGTCAGGTCGACTTGCTGTAAGATACAGTAATGAGGCTATTATGCTTCTGTATAAAGTATGATCAACGGTAGGTTTATCTAACGAAGGTGTGAGCTTTGTTCCAAATGCCATTGGCACTCGCAATTTTGTGCTATTCGTCAAGCCAAAATTTTCAAGAAAATTCTTGGTATATTTTTCTTGATTTATAAAAATTCCTTCTCTATTTTGACGAATATTTAATCCAAGAAAGTTGTTCATTTTACCCATCATACTCATCTCAAATTTGTTTTTCATCAGATATTCGAATTCACTAGATAAAGCAGGGTTGGTAGAGCCAAAAATAATATCATTAACATAAATTTGAACAAGCATTAGATGATCTCCAACTTTCTTTCGAAAGAGAGTGGGATCAACTGATCCTTGTTTAAATTTCAATTATTTTAAAAAAGAAGTTAAAGTTGCATACCATACTCTTGGTGCTTGTTTTAGTACATACACTGCTTTATCTAGAATATAACAATGATCAGGACATTCTTCATTTACAAAACCTGGAGGTTGTTCCACATATACAGTTTCTTCGATTTCACCATTTAGAAATGCACATTTGACATCCATTTGATATACATCGAAGTCTTGATGAGCTACACAGGTTAAAAATATTCGAACGGCCTTGAATCTTGCGACAGGGGCAAAGGTTTCTTCATAATCGATACTTTCTTGTTACGAATAACATTTTACAACTAGCCTAGATTTATTTCGAACAATATTACCATCTTTGTCGGTTTTATTCTTGAAAATCCATTTTAATCCGACAATTGAAGCATCTTTTGGGTTAGGATATAACCTCCAAACCTCGTTTCTTTCGAATTCAGCCAATTTAGATTGCATTGCAACAACCTAATCAGAGTGTTCCATTGCAACCTTAACTAATTTTGGTTCAATTTTCGAAATAAAAACATTAAACATGCAAAACTCATGATAAGTATTGAGTACCTCATTCTTTGCACGTATCTGAGCTCTTGTTAGCACTCCTTCATGTGGTTTTCCTATCACTTGTTCCTTAGGATGACTTCTAACCCATTTATCCATTGGAGGATATGCTGGATCAAAATCTAATGGTTCATGTTCAAACATTTCTTCTGTTTCAGAACCTACAACAGAAACATTATCAGTTAGATCATGAAAGATTTCATCTTGATTATTATTTGACATATTTAGCTCCCCCTCGACAAATTTATTTGCAGTTTGCTCCCCCTCCACATCATCATCTATTCTTTTATTCTCCCCTTCAAAAAATGCTCCCTGTCATCATGAGAATTTGAATGAAAGTGCTCCCCCTCCACTTGATCATTCAACATACTTTCGTTATTTATAGAGAAGGTGATTCCAAGTTTTCATCAACGGGATCTGGAGTAGATGTCAAACAATCAGAATGCTTGGATGATTCCGGAATTTGATTATTGTGAGCATTGATTTCAGCATCCGCAACTCTATCTGGAACACCAAAAATTAAATCATAATCAAAGTCATACAAATTATAACTTTCAGATTCATCATTGGATTCATGAAGAATTGGTTTTTGTTCAAAACATTTTTCAACTTGTTTAACATAATGATCTTCAAACATAACATTGAATGTTTCTACAACTTTCTTGTGTGTTTATTCAACACCCGATATGTAACCAAATTATGAGAGTAACCCAAGAAAACTCCTTCGTCAGCTTTGGACTGAAATTTCGAAAGATTATCTTTGAGATTCATGTTAAAACACCTACAACCAAAAACACGAAAGAATTTGACATTAGGTTTTCGGTTATTGATAATTTCATAAGGAGTTATGTTGAATCTTCAATGAATAAAAGATCTATTCTGAGTAAAACATGTAGTAGAGATTGCTTCGTCCCATATATATTGAGGAAGATTCGCATAAATGAGCATTGTTCA